GCTGGGGCTCTGTTTTAGCCTCATTCCAGCCCCTTTTCCTGAGATGTGCTGTGCTCCTGTCCCCACAGCGTGTTCCTGAGGAGCCTGCAGGGCTGTGACACTGACGATGACGTGGCCATGTGCTTCATCAAGCACGAAGCAGAGTTCAGCAGGTACATCCAGTACCTGGTGGGAAGGGTCCAGGCAGAGTCCATTGTTGTCAGCAAAGCTGTCCAGGATTTCTACAAGGTAAGGCAGGAGCCAAAGCACCTGTGGGAAATTCATCCTGTGACCCACTGCATCACGAAATCTCATTATTAATCATAAATATGAACCTCAAAAGTATTTGTAATATCGCTTGCTTAATATAGTAGCAAAAACTTATTAATTTAAAATTAATTAAACTTTAAAAATTATTAAAACTAATAATTTTTAGTTCACTTCCAAGCTTTTTCTTGTAAGTATGTCCAATATGGGAGCATATTTACACATTCTTATGCATTTATTAATATTAGAAAGATTATGCAGCCATGAATGTGGCTGTGTTTACGTAATTGCAATTAAGGGACATTTTAAAGGTCACCACATTATAAGACCAAGAGAACCACATAAATCATAAATATAGATAAGCAAATCTTGTTTCTCTGCTCCAGCTGCTCAGGATTTTTTCTACTGCTCTTTATAACCACCTTTCCTTGTTATTCCATGTATTTTTTCAGAGATACACAGATGAATATTTAACTAATGAAGATCCCTCACAGCCACTTATCCCACCACTGCAGCACTACCTGGAAAAACCCATAAACAGGATCCAGCAGTACCAGACAATAATTAAGGTAAAGAGATGTCGTTACAGGTTTATGTTCTGTTCTGTGCAGCTTGTGCAAAAAAAAGATTTTATTTTTATTTTTATTTCCTATTTCTTGGCTTCCTTCTTATCTTCCTTGTAGATAAAACTACAATTGAAAACTCTTTGAGTAAATAAGAGAATAATCATCACCAGTGGTGGTGATTAATCTCTTATTAGTGGTTCTCTAAATAGTTTTGTAAATGTAAATCCAGGTGGAGGTTCACAGAATCCAACCCCAGAAAGTTCAGTGAGCTTTATCCTTAAATATATGAAAAAAATATATTGTGTGATATAATAATATATTAGTATATATTATATTAGTATATATTATATTATATTACTATATATTATATTGGATGACAGGTATAAATTTGCTTCAAACTCAGCAACATTTATGTTACAAAAATAAGCAGTTTCCATGTCTAAGATAATGACTTACCACTTCTTTTCCTTTTATACTGATATTGTAGTAAGATTAAATTCTTGTTTTCTGAAAAACTTTGCCCCATTCTACCACCCTGAAGTATTTTGTCTTTCAGGATTGCATCTGTCCTACTGTCTTAGCCCATAAGCAAACATTTCAGAACAGCATTTCCATGGGAAATAGCATTAGGATACTCAGGAAGAAAATAATCATGGCAAAATATTTATGTGTTCTAGTGTTGTATGAAAGAGCAGCTTGAATATTTTGAAGAACCTTCTACTTTTGAACATAGTCTTGCACACAAACTCCAATATTTTTAAGGGTCTTTTGGAGGAGAAAAGGCATTTTCCATGCCTTCGTTGCTGAAAGAGAGGAACAGGAACAAATGTGGGAAGAACAGGAAAAATGCCGTTTCACATTTTTTCTAGCCTCCCTTTTTATTATTCTAATGTTGACTCAGCACATGAATTCCTTGTTCTCTGCTCTTGTGAGGGTAAGCAGAAGAGAAATGCAATGGGTACATTTAGGATCGCTTTGGAATTTTTGGTTTTCAACCACCAAACCATATCTGGTGTTTGTTTCAACTTTATCTTTACTTGGCATCAACTGATGTCAGGAAAAGCCAGACTGGTTAGTCTTTAATACTGCTGAATAAGTAGGAAAGAAAAGACTTTTTTATCTAAGCAGTTTGTGGTGAAAAAAACGGGATAAAATTTGCTGACATGAAAGAGACAGAACAGGTATTGAGAAAATCTTTGGCTCTGAAGAAACTGCTTGTTTCCTCTCTGATTATCCACTAATTTTTTCTTCATTTATCTGCAGGAATTAATCCGAAACAAGGCCAGGAACAGCCAGAACTGCACTTTGCTGGAGCAGGCCTATGCCACTGTGTCTGCCCTCACCAGGAGAGCCGAGAACAACCTGCATGTCTCTCTCATTGAGAATTACCCTGGGACCTTGGAGAGCCTTGGGGAGCCCATCCGCCAGGTAACTGCCATGTCCCATCCCTGCTGGCTCCATGGGTGCCCTCCCCAGTTTCTAAGAAGCCCTAATTCTTGAAAGAAAATTCTTTAGAAATCATTTATTTATTTATTTATTTATTTATTTATTTATAAAATTATTAATATTAATATTATTATTACTATTACTATTATTTTATTATTATATACTACAACATCAAATGAAAATATTATGATATAATTAATTATTTTGTTGACTATTATCTCTCATTACTATATTAATACATTACTATATTATTACTATATTAATATTGTAGTAATAATAATGTATAATTATATATTGGTTATTATAACTGTTATATATTATTATATATTATTAAGTTATATATTATATGTTATGTATATAAATATAGAAATATATATTTTATTTTATTACATAATATATTAAATTACATATATATTCTATTATATGTAATATTATATTACATTATGTTATAATGTTAATTATTATATCTCATTACTATATCAATATATTACTATAATATTGCTATATCAATATCATAATAATATCAATATATAACTATATATTGCTCATTATATTTGCTATATAATTAATTATTTATATATTATTAAATTGTTATATATTATATTTATAAAAAATATGTTACATTAAATTACATTACATTACATTACATTACATTATATCATAGTATGTTATATATTGAATTATATCTGAAAGAGATTATTTGCTTATTTCACCTACTGCTGTCCAGAAATGGGTGTTCTGGCACCACTAACGCTTGAAACACCAGAGCATGGATGCTTATGGAATAATTCCCACATCATGCAGTTATTTGCCTTTTTTAATCTGTTCATCAAACAGAAAAAAAAATTGTTCTGGGCCCCTACATGATCTAGAAGGGCTTTAACTCATTATTGGGAAGCAACGTGGGGCAGCTCCTGAAGTTACTGGCGTCAACCAGTGCTCAACCCATGTGCTCCCCCAGGTTTATCCCATGAACCAAGTGTGTGGCTTTTTAGGTGACCCAGCTCTTAGGACAGTTTAGTCTAGGACCTCCACCACCCTCACTCAAATTCCTGTTTCTTTATAGATTTACTGTGTTTTACCAGGCAAGTAATGTATTCTGTCTGTGTCTAATGTTTTCCATGGGAATCATGGTGTATTGCTGAGTGGAGCTGTAAGGCTAAATGACAGTGACACTGTGGTGGGCGTTCATCTCTCCACGTTTAGGCATCCAAAAATTGTCCAGTCACACTCCTCGAGTGTTCACCTCTCCCTAGAGACGCCAGGGGAAACCAATGTCACTAATTGAGCTGTCTGTGTCTGAAGCTGTGTGAAATGAATGTCCTGCTCTGGTGAAGGTGACCAAATCATCATATAAAGTGTCTGTATAACATACAAAATACAATTTTGCTTTAATATTTCCAAGACTATTTCTACCTGACAAGGGCTGTCTATTTTTCTGGCACCAAATAATACCATTTAAATGTCAATGTAACGACAACCACTGGCTGTGCCTGATGAGTCACCTTTAGCATTAGAAACCATCTGCTGTGCTTTAATAAACCAGAGATACATCAGAAATGATATATCAGATGATGCAACAGAAAACATTTATTATCTGGACACTGAAAAATGATGGTGAGACATAACTGTGGTAATTATTCCAGATGTATCACTGTGTGTTCTTCCTTCTTTTTCCTATCAGGGCCACTTCATTGTGTGGGAAGGAGCTCCAGGAGCTCGAATGGCATGGAAAGGACACAAAAGACATGTTTTCCTCTTCAAAAATTATATTGTGATCTGCAAACCAAAGCGAGACACCAAGACTGACACATACAGCTACATCTTCAAGAACATCATGAAGGTCTGACCACTTTATCCTCACATAAAGCATTTCTCTGTCAATTAGAGCTTCACTTTTATATCCTGCTTGAACATTCTTCTAATCCTTCTGAGCTACTCCTTTGCTTCAAAAAGTCTTTGAAGCACAAGTAGAATCTACATTTATCCCAAAATATCTATTTTAAACGTGTCAAAAACCATCAGGGTGGACTTTTACCATGCAGCAAGGAGATTGCAAGTACAAACATTTATTAATTTCTGTTACCTCATTTAATTAACAGCATAAATATATTATATTGATGTGGATTTTGCTGCCTACAGTATTTTCTTGCATTTGTAAATCTCTGATTTTGCCAATCCGTAACACTGGGAGTAAATTAGAAGGAATCTAATTTGCTAAATTCCATTGGGTTTTCTCTGCTGGTTACGTCCTTTCCAGACACCAGTTCTTGTTCAGAAATGGAAAAATTCAGAGCATTTGACCCACTTATCTTCAGACATTCAGGGTTAAAACTGCCAGAAATTGAGGAAAGAGTTTTCACAAGGGAGGAGATGCTCAACTCCAATAAAAACCAGCCAACCAACCAAAAAAAACCATGGACTTCTTGACCAAGCCCAGCCAGGACTTTCTGAAAGTCCTCATCATTATTCACAGGCAGATTTTCCAAGAAAAATAAAATTGAACCATTTCCATGCTTTGTCCAGAGACTGCCTATTCTCTATTTTTTCCATGTTGCCTGGGCCCAGCTCTTCAGGGCCAGTGTGTTCCACCCTCGGGATAACTTTTACTGCTGGACATCGTTTTCCTGAAAAACTAACCCCAGGAAAATGTCAGTTTGGTAACCAGAAAGTCAAATATACCAGGGAAAATAACTCTCAAGGTAGCTCTGATTGCTCTTCATCCAAAGCCACGTTGCCTTGCTCATGCGATCCAAAAATTCTTTGAAGAAAATGCAAATTACCCCTTTTAGCTGTTGGGAATTGTTAAAAATCACAGGATTTGTGGTGACTTTCTTGCCCCTTCTGTCACTCAGCTGAACAACATAGATGTGAACGACCTGGTGGAAGGGGATGACCGGGCCTTTGAGATCTGGCACGAGCGGGAGGATTTGGTGCGCAAGTACCTGCTGCAGGCACGGACCGTGAACATCAAGAACTCCTGGGTGAAGGAGATCTTGGGCATCCAGCAGAGGATCAGCGAGCCCATCTGGAGTAAGTGTGGCACCAGACAACCCAAACCTCGCTGGTTTTCTTCTTGGATGGTCTCCTTGGTTTGATGCCTTGGGAAGGCTGACCTAGAACAGAATTCTAGACTAGAGGCTGGACAGAGCTAAAGAATAAAGCAGGGATTTATTCAAAGGCCTCCATGGATGCACCTTGGGCAGCACCAGAGCCCAGCCAGGGCTGCACCCAAGATGAACCAAAATGGCCCCAAAATGCACGAGCGCTCCCGGGCTCTCTCCCTGGGATCAGTTCTGCTCCATTTGCACCTTGCAGTTCATTTTCCCATCCCAGCTTTAGCCCAGGCAGTCCCACCCTGCTTGTTTTTCTCTCTCCAGCCCACGGGGTTTGTGCTCCTGGGCTGAGATTTGGATCATTTGTCCTTGGTGCCCAGCTGGAGCAGGAATTGTTTTGTCTCCCTGCTCTGTGCACAGAGCTCAGACCCACACACTAAAGCAGCACAGAAAAATATAAAATCTAAAACCTGAGGCATCAGGTTCAGGAAATTATAAAAGAGGGAGGGAAGCTGTTTATGGTCATTAAAAGTGGGAGCAGGTCCAGGGAGGGGATTCTGCCCGTCTGCTCTGCTCTTGTGGGATCCCACCTGCAGTGCTCTGTCCAGCTGTGTGGCTGCAAAATAAAATGAACATGGAGCTGCTGGAGTGAGTCCAGAAGAGGCCTAGAAGATAACCTGAGGGTTGAAACACCTCTCCTGGAGGAAAGACAGGGAGAGTTGGTGTTGTACCCTGATCCAGAGTCCTACACACCCCAGTACAAAAGACCCTGTGACTTCACTGGGTTCCAGACTCTTTACTCAACTCCTGGCTTACACTGCTCTAATTTTGCACCTGGGTTTGCTTTGGAATTTTGTCCCGTCATTAATGTTTCATCATTCTCAGTGTCAAATTTGAGATTACACCAATTTTCAATCCCCAAAAACTATCAGTAGGGATATTAAATCTTTATTTTCCAGGCACCAGCTACAAATGGTGTCCACTATAGCATAAGGATATTTGGCATCTTAAAATGCCAGAACAGCATTGGATTTAATCCATATATACTGAAAACAAGTCTGGGCACTTCATTTTGTGCTTTTAGTAAAATGTTTTAGTGAGGAAGACCATCAGAATTATTTTGTATGGTTTCATATGGTCGCAATTGGTTAAAATAAAAGTCATTTAATAAAGGAACAGGTTGCCCAAAGTTGTGGCTTCCCCATCCCTGGAAGTGTCCAAGGCCAGGCTGGATGGGGCTTGGAGCAGCCTGGGACAGTAGAAGGTGTCCCTGCCCATGGTAGGGATGGGAATGCAATGGCCCCATGCATTAATGTCTCTTCCAACCCAAACCACTCTATAATTCTATGATTCAATGAAAGCATAGATTTTATTGTAAGGACACCAGCATAATGCTGGTTTGGATACCCAGGCTGCACTTGATTTGAGGAATTGCCTTAACGGTGACAGATGTGTGGTGTCTGAATAAGGGATGTGCTTATTAAAATCATGGTCTAAAATAATTTCAGATCAGTAACAAATTCCCTTTTTTTCATATGGTCTAACATTGTAGCCATCAACAGACATGTTACAGACTGAATTTAATCTCAGACAAGCAAGGAGACCACGTCACCTATTAAATCTTGAGCTGCCAAAATTTCCTGTTCAGTTTTTCCATTCTGAACCTCACAGATTTGCAAAAATTATTCTTATCTCACTCAGCAGCGGCCATGCCATGGACAGAGCCCCTTCCTCCAGACTAACACGCTTCCTCTGATATTTCCTCTGATGTTTCCTCTGGTATTTCAGTCCCTCCAGACTTTGAGGAAGAGCTGGCAGACTGCACAGCTGAGCTGGGAGAGACGGTCAAGCTGGCCTGCAAGGTGACAGGAGCTCCCAAGCCATCCGTCAGCTGGTACAAAGGTATGAGCAGCAGGGCAGGAAATGCACCCTTCAAATGTGCTCCCTGTCCATAGTTGGGCAGTGGGTTGATGCCTTAAGGAGCTGGAACAGAGGCTAGACAAGAGTTAAGAGGAGTAAAGTGGATATTTATTGAGATGCCTTCAAAGGCCATACCCTGGCAGTACGCAGATGGCTCCAAGATGGAAGCCAAAGAGGGCTTGGTCACGAGATCTCACATTTTCATAAGTTTTAGTCCATTTGCATATTGGACTTAGCTGTCCAATTAATAACTTTTTATGAAGTTTTATCCTCTTTGCCTGATTGCCCACCGTCCTCTTGTCACGTCGTTCATGCTTTGGGCCTGAAGTTTGAAGAGATTGTCCTTGAGTCTCCAGCTAGAATAGGATTGTTTGGTCTTCAGCGCCCTGTGAGAAGATCCTAGTAACAGCTAATATAAAGATGAAAGCTGCACACCAAAACAGAACAGAAAAACTTAACACCTCGAGTGTCAGGTAATCCAAGAGCTGATCCCCTAGAGATGCTCAAGTCTAGAGATCGTGTTTTTGGGCATTTTGGGTGTGCTCCTTTGGCTGGAAAAACAGAATTATTATTGCACACAATGTACTCTCGGATAATTTCACTTTTAAATGAGGAGTGGTGATGTATGAGGTCCTTCAACACTACTTTGCCCTGGTTGATGTTTTATAGAGAGCTGGATGAAGAGCTGATTCCTCAACTACCAACACCAGCTGCAATAATACAGCTCTCAGCCCTCTCAGGACGAAAAGCTGGATGAAATTCCTAAGGAGGAAACTCTGAGCAAGCTATTTTAAAAGAAATAATTTCCCTTTCAGATGGGAAGCCCGTGGAGGTGGATCCCCACCACATTATCATAGAAGATCCTGATGGCTCCTGCACGCTGATCTTGGACAACCTGACTGGGGCTGACACAGGACAGTACATGTGCTTTGCTTCCAGTCCTGCTGGGAACGCCAGCACCTTGGGAAAGATCCTTGTTCAAGGTAAAGTCCTGCCCAAGTGCAGTATTTTAAGGGGGTTTGCTAGGAAATACCTTAAACTTGTTCTAGCTATGATGTGACCAGCAGGAGCAGGGCAGTGACTGTCCTTTGTGCTGGCTTGGGGTCAGTTTTGGGTTTGCCACGAGCAGAAGGACTTTGAGGAACTGGAGTGTGTCCAGGGGAGGGAATGGAGCTGGGAAGGGGCTGGAGGACAAGAAGGGAGCTGGGAAGGGGCTCAGCCTGGAGAAAAGGAGGCTCAGGGGGGACCTTGTGGCTCTGCACAGCTCCTGACAGGAGGGGACAGCCAGGGGGATTCAGGCTCTGCTCCAGGGAACAGGGACAGGAAGAGAGGGAACGGGCTCAGGCTGGGCCAGGGCAGGTTTGGATTGGAGATCAGGGAAAATTTCCTCACCAAAAGTGTTGTCAGCCACCAGAACAAACTTCTCAAGGAACTAGTGGAGTCACCATCCCTGGAAGAGCTCAGAAAACATTTTGATTTGGCACCTGGGGATGTGGTTGACTGTTGGCCTTAGCAGTGTTAATGGTTGGACTCCATGACCCCAGAGGTCTTTTTCAACCTAAATGATTCTATGTTTCTATGATGTTACAAATATTCAGGCATTCCAGAGGTTCTATAGGACATATACTGGATAATATTTTAAAATAAAATTATATAGAGGTGCAGGCAACTGTTTTTAGGTCAAAAAATTTGGTGTCTAGTACCCTTTATGCCCAGTGAGAATTACCTGGTCAGGGACATGCTCTTCCTGTCTGTTTATATTTCCAGCTAGCAGTCACATTTAGCTTTGCTTTTTGCAGTGCCCCCACGGTTTGTGAACAAGGTCAGAAATGCTTATCTTGTTGAGGGTGAGGATGTCCAGTTCACCTGCACTGTGGAAGGAGCACCCAGGCCTCAGATCAGGTCAGTCCTACACCTCTCATGGGAACAAATCCTTTTTTCCCACTTTGCATAGTCAGAAAAGTCATTTTGAGTTTATGACCCTTTCTTTACTGTGTCTTCCATCTTAACCCCATCCCAGTGCTGGCTCTTCATGTTCCAGACATTCCTGAGATTTTTAGGAGTTAATTCTAGCTAGAATTTGAAAAGAAACACCTGCAGATAGACCCTGAGGAGGACTCTGTCCAATCCAAAGCCCTGGAAAATATTTTATCATTGTTTATCCTCCCTGCCTTAGACCTGACTTGATTTTATCAGATATTCAGACAAAGAGCTCAGCAAATCCTGTCTTGTCATCATTGAAAGCCCTTTTCCAGCACTGACTGAGGAGATGTCTTGGGAGGAACCTCATAAAGGTTTGCAGGTTCATACCCAGGTGTGAGCTACCCACCTGCAGCCCTCCCTTCCAGGATCCAAATATTTGTCTAAGGACCAACTCCAGAGTTGTTTGACGGATGGATCAGCGATCTTGGGGACCTCTTGATGCTGCATAATTTGTCCTGGCTTATGGTCCATGTTTTCCCACTCAGGTGGTACAAGGATGGGGTGCTGCTGAAGGACACCAGTAAATACCAGACTTTCAGTGAACCACGGAGTGGCATCGCAGTCCTGGTGGTCAAGAACCCTTCCAATGAAGACATGGGGCACTATGAATGTGAGGTAAGTTCAGAGAGGTTTAAATATCTGTCATCTGAAATGGTACAGGCAGGAGAATTCATCTTACTGGCAGAGACCCATGGCTCAGGAATTGCTCATAAGAACATTATGGATAGTCTTGAGCTAGATCTGGATTGTGAATGTCCAAAAGCTTCAGAATATTCTGATCTGACAGTTTGTTGGTACAAGTAAGAATTTATGGAGCTTTTTCTGAAGCTTAAACTCAGACCTAGATCTCTAGGGAGAACGCTTCTTACAAAATTTGGGACCATTCTGATGTGATATTTTGTTTCTGGATTGTCTTTAAATTATGACTAAGAAACCTTCCAGAGCCAAAAGAAAGAAACTAAGTCTAAACAGAGGGATAAAGCACTGAAATTCCTGTTTTGTTTAGCAAGGATACATGGAAGTAGCTGATAAATTTTTAAAAATGTAAGATATTTTATGAAAATTAGTAATAATTAGTAATTAGTAATAATAATTAGTAGATTAGTAATAATCTATGTGTTCATTGTAATAAAACAGTAATAAGTTCTGAGGGCTTGCCAATAAAAGAAATTGGTGTTGGTTTAGGAAATTGCTCCATGGTAAATTGTTCAGCTCACAGAAATATTTAGGAAGTTAGATACACTTTAAAGAATTCTATTGGAATTTTAGCAAAACCAATACACCTTGCATTTGCCATTGACCAAGATCCTAAGGTCCAGTATTCCCTTGGTTGAGTAAAACTCAGTAACTATTGGATGATGAACCAAAAAAAAAAATCCTCTATATGGCCACCTAAGTGTGTGTGCAGCAGGAATCTGGGCCTGTAGGTAGAGACAGAGTTACCCCAGGAGCAAGTCCCAGGTGCAGAGTAAGATCCAGTAATTAAGTAAATAAGTTTGCAGATGTGCTGTAACTTGTCTCTCTGAATAATTTTTGTTAAAAATTTGTTGAAATTGTTAATTTTTTTGTTAAAATTTGTTAAAATTTTTGTTAAAATTTTGTTAAAATGAACTCCATCGAGCACCAAAGTGTCCCTTCAAACTCCAGCTTGGCTCTCTTCTCACGCCTTCACCCATTCCTGCCAGCACTGAATTTCCAAGAGTAGCACAGGCAGGGTTTTATCATGACCAAAAACCAAACCATGCCGTGTTTCATTTGGCACTGCACCATTCTCTCCAGCTGATGAACAGGTTAGGGTCTGCCAAGAGTGGAGCAGAGCTTTACCACCACAGCGCCGCAGCCCTGACCCAGGAGAGGAGAGGAGACCAAGCCATCACCATTGAAGGTACGACCCTTGCCCAGCTCTGTACGTACACCAGCCCTAAAAACAACAAAATTCCAGTATTTTTTTGCCATCTTACCCGCGTTGGTTGTTGGTGTCCATGTATCTGTACGTCTTCTGGAGATGTGTATGGGCACAGGGCGGCTCAGCTCTGTGCCCATCATCATCTGTTGATTTCCAAGCCTGGCAAATCAACTTCATATAATGTGGATGCATTATATGGAAAAGGAGGAGCAGATGAAGGGTTTGTCACGCCACCAATAGTGCAAAAAGAAATGTTGTATGTTGTTGGAAAACTTGGAAATGTGTGTCAGCCTGGCATAAATGTTACAGGGGTCACTGAGTAAAGGTGGAGGTGTGTTGGGATTGTTCCTGAAATGAAGGACTTGGGGAGTGACTGGGAAAGCAGAACTGACAGCAGTGTGTCCTGAGCAATGATTAGTTCATCCATTACTTAGGACTGTCCAGGGACAACCATAGAACCTGTTCCTTTTTTCCTGCCAGCTTCACCTGGATTGGTAGGGCGCTAAAAATTTATTTTGCACCCATCCAAAAACGCATCTTTCTTCACAACTTTTAGTCATTACTGCCTAAAGTTCCAGGGATTACTGCCTATCCCAGGGATTTCCACATGGAGTGTGTCAGCGCTTGCTGCAAACCCATCACAGCCCAGTTTAAATCCATGGCTACATCTCCCTAGGGAGCATTTCCTGGCATAGGGAATTGGTTCTTTGCACATCTTATAAATGTCCTTGTGTGGCTGAGTGTGAACCAGCCAGTCCTGTCTCTCTTGGACAGCTCAGGAGCTGATGCAGCCAAGGGACCAGCTTTGATAGGTAAGGGGCAGATTTGGAGGGCAAGAGAGAGGACTGGGATAGGGACAGGCTTCTCCTAGACGTGGTTGGTGGAGGCATGGTCAACAAAAGCCAGAGTTTTACCAACAGCTCTAGGACCTTCTGTCCTCAGCTTCGGTGTTCCCACACTGTCTTGTGATAATAACAGGAGTTCAAGTGTGTTGAACCCAGCTCAAGGGCATAATTGACATTATCAGCTTCCATTAAGAGGCAACATTCTGACTCATGAAGCTGCTGGGCAGAAAATGCTGGAGTCTGGAATAATATTCAGGGATAAACAATCCTCTACTTATATTTTTTCATCATTTTCTACAGTTCTCTGCTGTTGGCCCTGTTTGAGACAGGACCCTGGTCTGGCTGGACCTTTGGGCCAGCCCTCTGTAGACACAAATGTTGTGCTATTACATTATGAGGATTCATCCACAACAAATTATTAATATTAGCATCCTGATCTTTGAACTTTCTTGACTTCATTTTAAACATGTTTTCCTTTTAGTTCTTTCCCAGAGTCCCATCAAAAAGCATTACAGGGAGGATGGTGTAAGTGTAGGAACACTAGAATTTTTTCAGCCAAATAAACCTTCAAGTACTTGAATTCTTTGTCTTTTCTGTGCCCCAAAGAGAGGAAAAATAAGTTTCGTGCAGGATGTAGAGGAACACAAATAAATCTCTGTCAGGGTGGTGTATCTTGATGAAGTTCACTTCAGGCAGATGTCATAAAGCAAACAAGGGTTGTATAAAATTTTAGGAGCATTTTCAGCTCTGGGGGTTGCTAATGTGTATGTTCAGCCCCAAACTTCTCATCTGCTGTTATTCTGTAATCATAAACAAAAATCATTGTGAGCTTGGTTACAGAAATATAATTGGAGTTTGCCTGGAAGCTTCAGAAATGTCCTGAAATAAATTTGTTCTGTGATGTGTGCAATTGCTTGAACTCAGTAATAGGGAAGAAAATAGATCCCTGAGTCATCTCCAGGGTGAAACAGAGGGAGAGCTGCTTCAGGCCACTGGAGAAAATAGGCTCATCCATGGAGCAAGAGGATTGCTATGAGCAGAATGGCACCAGGGAGGAATTTGGCATAATGCACTTGACCAAGGAGGGAACTCGTTGCTTTCTTGAGAATCAGTAACCAGCCTTGATCTGCCTGGGGGAAAATCAGGTTCATCTGGCAAAGACCTGGAGGACAGGTGGATCTCCTGAAGGTTCTTTCCATCCTCACAATCCTTCCTATTTGTGAACATGGGATTACTTGTAGCTTCACCAAGACAACATTCCTGCTCTCACATCAGGAAATAGATCCTGTGTCTGCTTCCTGGCTCACTGCACCCTGGGTCTGAGTTTTACCTGATTTATTTCTGTTCCTGTGAAATCACCACTGTCTGGGTCTCATGAGGCACCCAAGGGGTGACTATTTTAGTTTTTATCCTCCTGCCTTTCTGTACTGTTTATTCTGCTGAACCAAACCCATGGTTTGGGATACCATTAGTCCAGTGGTTAATGAGCCCCTGACCTGCAGCTGGTGATGGACCACAGTCCAAGACCATGGGTATGAAAACAAAAATTCTTTGGTTTAAATTCACATTATGGGAGTTTGCAGGTCCCTTGGATGGACCAAATCCAAAAAGGATGGAAACCACTGGACTAAGGGATCCCTTGTGAGCTGAGATCTGCCTTCAGCCACACCTGGTTGCTGCACTGAAGTCAATGGAGGGTTGCTGTAAAAAAAATCCTCTTTCTGTGGATATTGGAAGAATTTGAGACACTTTTAAAAAGTGTAGTTGAAAGAAGATCCTTCTCTTTGACTTCCAGTTGACTGTGTCTGCTTTTCCCCTCACTGCTTAACCTGCACTCGGCACACCTGGGCTGATGTGCTCTGGCATGTTCTGGTGTGATTTATCCATCCAGGCTCACTAACTTGATTATTTGTCAAGAAAAACAAAGCCCAGTGCCTTGGAAAGGTGCTGCATTTCCATATGGATGGGCAGGTCAGGACCTAGAATGAATATAAGGGAAGGAGTCAGGTACAGGAGTGGAAACAAAGCCATAAATAAAATTCCCAAAGCAGCTACAGCCAAGTAACAATAATTCCTTCACAACTTTTAGATTTCATGCAGAGCCTTGGGCAGGTTCTTCAGTTGCCTTGTAGCAGCCACCTTGTTAAAAATCACCAAAATACTTTTGAAGTTCTCACAAGGAAGATTTAAAACACAGAGGAGCATCAGATCTCTCAGTGTTACTAAAGAAATAGGGCGCAGGAGTTTGCCCCCTGTGGGATATTCCCTGATTAGGGTATTTACTTCGTTATTTATTTTCTCTTATGACCGTGGTTCAGTCTCATTTTTGGCCAGGCCACAGGGTTTAAAATTCAGGAGAGCCCCAGGTGCCTTTGCAGCCGTGTCAGTCACTGCAGGACTGGAGCCTTTTGGTTGGCTGGGTTTGGGGGTTATGTTTGTCTGTTTGTTTAGGTTTTGGAGGGGTATTTTTGATAAAGATCCCATTTATATAACATAAAAAACTCTTACATTCATGAGTGCAGCCACCAGCCCTGTAGGGATTTCAGAGATCTGTGGATGTGACAGTTGGGACAGGGTTTGAGGTGGCAGTGCTGGTTTAGCAGTTGGATTCAATGATCTAAAGGGTCTTTTCCAACCTCAAGGATTGCAAGAATTGCTCATTTTAGGATTACTTTTAGCAGTTCTTGTCAGGTTTTGCAGATGAGCCTCCAAGTGTAGCAGAAGGAGGTGAAAACAGAGCAGTGCTCCTCTGGTTCATGCCAGCAGCGTGAACTGAGCAGCAAAAATAGGTTTAAGCTTCTGTAAGTGGAGAAAAGAGACTTAAAAATTGTAATAAAGGCCACAAATAACCATCCATCCAGCCATCCATCCATCCATCCATCCATCCATCCATCCAGAGCAAGGAGAACTCACTTATCCTCAGTGTTCCATCACTTGTAAGCCAATGTTTTAATCTATTAACCAAAGAGATGTCTGGGCTGTCCCTAATGCTTACAGCTTTTAACCTGCTTATCAGGGGCTCCTGCTTTGCAAAGCTGTTTGCCTAAAATGCTCTTGAAAAGTTGAAATGATAAATCCTAAAAAAAAATGCTAAAAATGGACGCAGAATATTTTCCTCTCGGGGAAAACAACAGGAAAAAAAAATTTAAAACCGCCAAAACCAAGCAAACAAACAAAAAACAAGAAAACCAAAAAGAAAGAAAAGAAACCCAAATTCTCTCATCCTACTTTCGTGTGGTTCTATCCTTCAGTATAGGATTGCTCAAATCCTCCCTCACACCTTGGACAGCACATATACAATTTATTAAATGCCATTTTCAGCTTTCTCATCCCAATATCGAATATTGAATCTCTTTGACATCTGCTACAAATAGAAATATCACAGTTGGTGTCATTTGGGAGGACTTCAAGACCAGACATTCATAGAGCAACCATTAAAGAGACTTTTTCTTACAGACATTGTGAGATTTCATTGAATTTATTCAACTATGTAGTTTATATTACTTAATTCTCATCTAAATTTATTGTTGCTAAAAGATTTGTAGAAAACACCTATTATCAGGTGTATAATCCAATTAATTAAAACATTTCCATCAGAGCTTCAGTATTTTTACTCATATACTCAGTGCATATGGATTAATCTCATAATATTGTTTAAAGAGATTTCTAAAAGTTATTTAAAATTTGCAGAATAGTGATTTGAAAGTTCAGTGAAAATCTCTCACCTGAGTGTGGTAAATTGTTAGAGCACTCAGTTCATCTGCCATCACTGAATTATTATAATTCCACCATTTAAAACAAGGTTTGAGTTATTAAAAAAATATTAATTAAGTATAGGTAAATGGGTTTATTGTAATTGTGTCCAGGGATAAATATTTGAAAATAATTTTGCTCTTTACTTATCCAGTTAGTTTGAATTCAGATCTCCAAACAGATTTTGTTTAAACTCACCCAGTTCTGCAGCAACTCCTTTCTGTGGGAAATTATTCCAGTTTTTTACAGGCATAAACAAGACAAGGCTCTGCAAAAAAAAAAACAAACATGAGCTCTAGGTCAGAAATTGCCATCAATATTTGCACAAAATTCCTTTTCATTAATGGTCAAATTTGTGTTTTTACCTGAGGCAGGGAAGAG